AGTGGGAATTCCTGTGTGATCAGATCCCTATGTGTGGCGCTCCCCTAACTACAGTCTGCAGGGCCTGCCTGTCCCTGCCCTGTGGGGGCAGTGAGCTGGCTGGATTTCTCCCCTGGCTGCTTTTGCTGTTACTTGTCTGGCTGCCATGAGGCTCTGCAAGAGTGCTATGTTACTCATTGCTGAGCCGCTTTGCCCAGGCTGCCCCTACCTGATCCTGTGACCTCTTTCATTCTGGTCAGTGTCTGATTTACCTGCGAGTTGAGCCAGAAACTCTAGAGGGGAGTCGAAGGGGAACGGTGCTGAGTTTGGAAATGATACCGCAGCCTATGTTACCAGCTGACTCAGGACATTCCACATGAATGTCGTAGAGGCCCCTCAGACACTGCCGGTCACAGATAAATGTGGTTAAGTCCTCACCATTAAGACCTCCTCTTCCTGCTTTTCCCATCTATTGAGAAGTGTCATGTAGGAATGGCTTGTCCATCCCTCCATTGGGACAGTAGTTTAAGCAAACCCTTTAGGTCAGCAGTTCGAACCCACCAGCTGCTCTATGGGAGAAAGATGAGGCAGTCTGCTTCTGTATGGATCGATAGCCCTGGAAACCCTCTTGCTCATATCTATTCTAGCCTATATTGTTGTTCCGGGTCAGAATAAATGGGAAGGCAGTGGTTTTTTGTTTTTTTTGTTTTCTTCTTGTGGTGTTTAGTCCTCAGCTCATAGGAACCCTGGTAGTCTAGTGGTTACACTTTGGGCTGTCATCCTCATGGTTGGCGGTTCAAAGCCACCAGCAGGTCCACAGGAGAAAGCCTGGGCTTTCTACCCCTGTAAAGAGTCTCTCAAACCCACATGGGGTCACTGGAGTCAGCACTGACTCGGTGACAGTAAGTTGTTTTAGTCCTCATAGGATGGCTCTCTGAAGTGTCACTTGTCATGTTCTCTAGTCTCTCCAGCACTGACTGAGGTTCATAATCATCATTTCCCCCGGAGTTGAAATTTGCGCTCTCATCAGTACTCTGTACTTTTTTCTCCCCCTTGTTCTTGTACACACCGCTGTAGAGTGAGAAGACCACTATTCTAAAAAGCCAAGAAAATATTTTCACACTAGCAGAAACATTCTTTGCTGGTTAGCAGGTGCAGGAGGGGAAGGGAGAGTAAATCACTAACTAAAGGGTAGATACATATAATAACGTGGAAGAACAAAAAAACAGTAACCCAAACACTGTGTCATTACATCTATGTGAACTCATAGTGACCCCGCAGGAACAATAGTAAAACTGATCCTTAGTGTTTCTGAGATTAAATGTCTTTATGGGAACTGCCAGCCTCATCTTTCTCCAGAAACTTGGGTGAAAGTGAAAGTTAAAAAAAAAAAAAGGCAGTAAAGCAGTAGCAGCAGCTATTCTGCAAAAAAAACAAAACAAAACACAAGTTTTAAATCATCATAGTAAACATTAAAAAAAAAACAAGGAATAAAGGCAGATAAGATCATTCCCCCTGCTTTACATAAAAATCCCCTTAACTCCTCTTTACTTACAGAATGACATCAGCTCTCTCTGGCCCAGCCTTCAGGCCTTCCCTCCAGCCTGGGTGCTATCCTGAGTGTGACCTTCCTTATCTTGTGTCTCAGCCTCGGTCATCTCGTTCCTCTCTCAGGCCCATCGAATTTGTATTTTTAAACTTGGTGAGAAGTGGGTGAATTCCGTTTTTATTCAGCCATTCCTTCACCTGACTCAGCGCATCTTTGGGAGTCCCCTCGATGTCCCCTCCCTCATCCCATGTCCACCCTGTGGCTTCCATGTGCTTCCTGCTTGCCTAACTCTCTGGATTCGTCCTTGGCTCAGTGCTGCCCCTTTTGGGTCTTAAATGACTGGTTATTCTAACTTGGAGCTAAATTTAGTTTTAGCTCTGAAGAGTAAGGCCCACCAGTCTCTTAGACCAGTCAGCCTGGTTGGTCTCTTTTCTGATTTGAGTTCTGTTCTACCTTTTTCTCCTATTCGATGATGATTTCAAAGCAATTGGTAGTGGCCTACTTTTTTCCCAACAGTTTTATTGGCACACAATTTACATATCATACAATTGAATAGTTCAATTTGCTCATTCAGCCTTATCAAGGGGAATTGTACAATCAGCAACACATCTATCTTAGAGCATTCTCACCCCCACCCCACCCCCTTGGCCTACTTATTTTCATGTGACTTCAAGTTTCATCATCTCTGGATAGAGAGAGGCCAGTGGTTGCACCTTAGATGGCTGTGTATGAGCTTTTAAGGCCCCGTGACTCGTACGCTATGGAACGTTGTCTTTATGGAATATATTATGTTTCAGTGCCATTGTATTTTTATTTTTTGTCTGTGTAGATTACATGGTGTTTATCCAGTGATATCTTGTTAGGTTGCTTAATTGATAATTATTTATTATTTCCATTTTATAACCAATGTACATATAGGATATACCTTTTGTACATATTTTAGAGTCTTAAGTGTAGTTATTGGGACAGAGGGCACACTCATTTTTAAGGATGATAGGAATTACCCTCCAGACTATACATCAGTTTACACACTTGGCAGTTAATTCACAAGATGTGTCCCTACACTTTAAAAAAAATTATCGATGTATAATTCGCATGCCATGCAATTCAATGGCATAAATATATTAAAGAATTTCTCATTTATCCCACAACCTATTTTAGAACATTTTCTTCTTTTTAATAGTTATTCTTGTTATTAGTTCCCCATAACCCTAAGAAACTTAATTTAGTTACTGTCTATAGATGCACCTATCCTGGATATCCTATAAATGGGTTTCTTTACATGATGTCATATAAAGAAACTCCTACCTCCCCCCAAAACAAACTCCAGAAACAGAATACAGAAAACTCTCCGTCCAAAGAAAGCAGAAAGTAATAAAAACTAGAACAAGTTAAACATAGGTCCAAAGGGAAAACTCTAACCTAACTTTATCTGCAGTGGGGAGCTCTGCTAAGGTAGTGGGTGATCCAGTGGGCTGTTAACCAGCGTCCGCAGTCGGACCACCAGGCACTCCATGGTAGAAAGATGAGCGTTTTCCTCCCATAAAGAGATACAGTCTTGGAAGCCCGTAGGGACAGTTCTTCTCTGTCCTGCAGAATCACTGTGAGCTGGAATGGGCTCAGTGGCGGTGAGTTTGGGGAGCTCTGGTGGGATAGTCGACCATGTGCTCAGCTGCCATCTGCACAGTCAGCCCTTAGGCCCTCCAGCCACTTCCTCAGAGATGCACAGCTGTGGAGACCCAAAAAGACAGCTGAATTCCACCACTCAGAGTTGCTACAAGGCAGACCCCACCTGATGGCAGTGATTTGAGTTTGATACCTGAAATAATCCTTTTCCAGTGCACTCAGTCTGAGGGCAAGGCTATTCACATCCTTGGTCAATGGTCTTAGGGAATTCAGTGGACGCTGAATCTGAGTGGGGACTCTGCAAATAGAGTTTGGCTTTCCACAGCATTCTGCAGACCGGGTGCTCAGAACTTAAGCTCTCATACAATTCTCTTCTCTAATTTTGGATTTTATTATTCACAACCCTTGTATCACAGGGGCTGGTGTGCTCCCTCTTTGCAGACTTAGCTGACACCCCACTTAGATGACTGCTTGTTTTAAGACAGGCTTTTACGATGCTGTTATTTCTGATAGCTGGGCACCATCTGATTTCTTCATCGCATTTTGCTATAACACCCTTATCTTCATGAGGGCAAGTAAGGAGCAGGCCAGACCATTTTAAATGTCACATTTTTTGTGGAATTTTCTGCTTTTCCCCCAGCACAGTGGACTTTTCTTTCCCTCTCTCTGTGTTCTTAAAACTCTTATCCCCACTTCTTAGTTACACCACCAAGCATCTTGATTCCATAATTAGCTGGTAAGTACCGTTTTTGTTGTTATTTAAACTTATATACGATAAAACTCAATCTTTTGGTGAGTTTTGACACATGCAGTGAATTATGTAACTACAAATTGGTCCTGGAAGAAGTACCAGAATGTGCCTTAGAGGCAAGGATGGTGAGGACTCCTCTCATGTGCTGTGGATATGTTTTCAGGAGAAAATAGTCCCTGAGTAAGGACATCGTGTTGGATAAAGCAGAGCAAAAGACAACCCTCAAGATGATGAATTGACACAGTGATTGCAAGAAGACTCAAACATACGAACATGCAAACATTTGTGTGCACATTTCTCTTTGGTAGACATTCTAAGAGTGAGATAGCTGGATATAAAACCCAACTCAAAGCCACTGCTCTCTACTTGATTCTGACTCATAGTGACCTTAGATAGAGTTTCTGAAGCTATAATCTTTGTAGGAGCACTTAATCTCACATTTCTTCCATGGAGTGGCTGGTGGATTTGGACTGCTGACTTTGTGGTTAGCAGTCCAACATGTAACCTGCTATGCTACTAGGACTTCTAAAAAATAAACCCACCTGAGGAAATAGATCTATGTGTGTATATTTATAGGTTTAGTATTAAGGTAGCAGATGGACATTGGGCCTCCAGTCAAGTACTCCCTCAATGCAAGAACACTCTGTTCTATTAAGCTGGCATTCTATGATGCTCATCTTCCTGACACAATTGCTGAAGACAAATGTGTGCATAAGCAAATGTGGTGAAGAAAGCTGATGGTGCCCAGCTATCAAAAGATAGTGTCTGGGGTCTTAAAGGCTTGAAGGTAAACAAGCGCCCATCTAGCTCAGAAGCAATGTCCACATGGAAGAAGCACACCAGATTGTGTGACCACAAGGTGTCGAAGGGATCAGGTATCAGACATCAAAGAACAAAAAAATCATATAATTGCGAATGAAGGGGAGTGTAGATTGGGGACCCAAAGCCCATCTGTAGGCAACTGGACATCCCCTTACAGAAGGGTTCCAGGGAGGAGATGAGCCAGTCAGGGTGCAGTATAGCAACGATGAAACATTAAACTTTCCTGTAGTTCTTAAATGCTTCCTCCCCTGCACTATCATGATCCCAATTCTACCTTACAAATCCGGCTAGACCAGAGGATGTACACTGGTACAGATAGGAACTGGAAACACAGGGAATACAGGACAGATGATCCCTTCAGGACCAGTGCTGAAAGTGGTGATACTGGGAGGATGAGGGGAAGGTAGGATAGAAAAGGGGAGCCAATTACAAGGATCTACATATAACCACCTCCTTGGGGGACGGACAACAGAAAAGTGGGTGAAGGGAGACGGACAGTGTAAGATATGACAAAATAATAATAAATTATCAAGGGTTCACAAGGGGGGGGAGGGGAAAATGAGCTGATACTAAGGGCTCGTGTAGAAAGCAAATGTTTTGAGAATGATGAGGGTAACGTACAAATGTGCTTGACACAATGATGCATGTATGGATTGTGATAGGAGTTGTACGAGCCCCCAATAAAATTATCTTTAAAATAAAAATAAACCCATCACTCTTAAGTCAGTTCTAACTCATATGGACCCTATATAGGGTTTCCAAGGCTTTAGGGGAGAATACAGCTTCATCTTTCTCTCGGAGCAACTGGTGGTTTTGAACCACTGACCTTGTAGTTAGCAATCCAATGACTACCCAATAGTGCTTAAAAAAAAATAAAATTTCTAAAGTAAACTACTGGCATTCCCTGGGTTACAAATACTCAACTACTTGCTCTTTGTTATATAAATTTGTTCTTACTTTGAAGTAATTGAACCTACAACTAGTTATAAAAATTCTTCAGTACAATCACCTTTCACTTGCTACATGTGCAGCTTGTAAATTGTTGGAAAGACTTTGGACCTTTCTTGAACTAACCACACCCACTGCCATCAAGTTGCTTCCAATTTATGACAGTCCTCAGCATCATCTTTCTGGAACTAAACTAAAGGAAGGCCCAATGAGAACCATGTGTACCTGTTCCAACTAATTTACAGATTACCAAACACACAGGAACAGACCTCCTCATTCATAGCCCAGAAACAGCCTGTTTCTGAACACTGCATTTTCCCTTAAATGTTTCTCCTTCCACGTTTTTAAAATTGTAAACTTGGTGGGTGGTGGTTTAGTCATTGTTTAAACGGTTGACAAAGTGGATGCCCTAAAATGTAATTCCCTTAAGGCAGTGGTTCTTAACCTGTGGGTCGTCACCCCTTTGGGTATGTGTGTGTCAAACGACCCTTTCACAGGGGTCACCTGATTTATAACAGTCGCAAAATGAGTGATGAAGTAGCAACGAAAATAATGTTATGGTTGGGGGTCACCACCACATGAGAACCAGTGCCTTAGTGTTTCCTAACTGTTGTCACTTACATAGCATGCTCCTCCTTATTGATGCTATTGCAGTTCACAACGTTCCCAGCAGGGGACACTCAGAGACCGCAGGAATTTGTGTATTTAAGGAAGGGACAAGTATGGAGCCCAATGAGCGTTTATTAGGACCCAGATCACCGATCTCCGTTTATCTGCATAGTAAACATCTCTTTGGTGGCTCTAGATGCAAAGCAAAAGATACGCCAAGCCTGGAAGTCCTGGGTGCTCTATGTGGTAGTTCGAAGGACCAAACTCGGGATGCAGACGGCTGCCTCAGAGCTCAGGCAGCGGAATGCCTTGCGGTGAGTGCCCTCAGTGACCTTACTGATCAGTACAGGCAGTGTCTTTATGCCATCAGGGAGCATAAATTCCTACTTTCAAATAATGCACAATGCCAAAATGAGTATGATCTCAATGGTGAGATGAGGTTTTTATGTAATCATAATGGACATTAAGTGTACTTACTGCGGTTTAGGCCCTGTGTTAATTTTACATATAGCTACGTTGATTTGATTTTAAGAGACCATGTTTAATCTTTGTCATAGATTATAGAACAAATATTGCTAATTAGATATGGACACTAAGGCTCAAGTGGTTTATTTAACATGCATGAGTTGCAATTGGCAAAACCGGGGGCTCAACTTCCATTTCAAAAACCAGATTCACTGCTATCCAGTCAATTCTGACTCATCTCAACCTCTGCTATAGGACAGAGTAGAATTGCCCCTGTTGGTTTCTGAAGCTGTAACTCTTTATGGGAATATGAAACCTCATCTTTATCCCGAGAAGCAGCTGGTGGTTTTGAACTGCCGACCTTACTTGCAGTTAGCAGTCCACTGTATCACCCACTAGGCCACCAGGGCTCCAGTCACCCACCCTCCATTGTGTTGATACAAAAGCCCATTGCCCTAGCTGGCCCTATCTTCATCTCACCGGCATTATACATATGTAAGTGAAATTTGAAAGCTAGATGTGTATAACCATGCTATGATTTATAATAGCGTTGTTTCTACTGTATTTTGTCTCTACTGGTCTTCTGAGTTCTTGAGTGGCAGTACATTCAAAACCACCCCTGCCAACAAGAACTGGCCTCTGTACATAGTATGAGAAGAGCAGAAACTTCGTAGCTGCACTGATTTAGGCTTTACTCCCAGTTCTAGCATGAATTGATAGGTTATTTGGCATTGTGGTTATGCGTTGGACTGCAAGGTCAGCAGTTCAAAACCACCAGCCTCTCTGCCGGAGAAAGACGGGGGTTTTCTACTCCCGTAAAGAGTGACAGTCTCAGAAACCCACAGGGACAGTTCTACCCTATCTTGTAGGGTCACCGTGACTTGGAATCAACCCGATGGCAGTGAGTTTGGTTTGTTTTGGTAATCTCACTTTCCTCATCGGTTAAATAGCACACCATTAAGTATATTTTACGTTTATCATGAAGGAATAAATAAAATACACCTGTAAAGTTTGTAATGTGACATAGAGAAGAACCTCAGAAATAGCATA